AGAGAGAGAGAGAGAGAGAGAGAGAGAGAGAGAGCATGCAAGGGCACATGCACGCACACCAGCAGGGGGAGGGGGAGAGAGTGAATCCCAAGCAGGCGCTGTACCGTGGCCCGAACTCATGAACCATGAGTTCATGACCTGAGCCCAAATCAAGAGTTGGACGCTTAACCAACTAAGCCACCCAGCCACCCCTGAATGAGAGCAACTTAATCCAGTTTACCCGATAAAGAAGGTGAGGCTCAGGGAAGGAAAGCCTAAGTCTCCTCATGAAGGAACTGGACCAAGAACCCTGTTCATGTTAAAAACCAAACAGTTCACAAGGGTCAGAACAGCAAGCTACCTAATCCAGTGCTCTACCTTTAAGAAGCAGCCTATTGTGGGGTGCCTGGGTGGCTCAGTCGGTTAAGCGCCCGACTTCAGCTCAGGTCATGATCTCACAGTTCGTGAATGCGAGCCCCACTGTTGGGCTCTGTGCTGACAGCTCAGAGCCTGGAGCCTGCTTTGGATTCTGTGTCTCCCTCTCTCTCTCTGCCCTCCTCCACTCATGCTCTCTCTCTCTCTCAAAAATAAATAAACATTAAAAAATTTAAAAAATAATAATAACAATAAAGTCCCTGAAGGGGCTCCTGGGTGACTCAGGTCATGATCTCACAGTTTGTGAGTTCGAGCCCCACACTGGGCTCTCCGCTGTCAGCATAGAGCCCACTTCAGATCCTCTGTCCCCCTCTGTCTCTGCCCCTACCCAGCTAGTGCTCCCTCTTTCTCTCTCTCTCTCTCTCAAAAATAAGCATTTAAAATAAGTAAATAAGGTCCCTGAGGAGGTGACTTGGAGCTGGAATTTGAAAAATAAAGAGCCATCCATGAGAAGAGCCACGAAAGAACGTCCCACACAAAGAAGAGAAGTGCAAAAGGTCCCAAGGGGAACTTGAGCTTGGCTGTCAAGAGCAAAAAGTGAGTGGATGGGTGCAGTAAAAGGGTCGCACAGGCAGCAGTAAAAGAGAAAGCTGTGGCCAGGTCATTCGGGGTCTTGTGGAATGTTTGGATTTTATTCAAAGTGCAAGGGGAAGCTTGCATTTCCCCTTAAGCAAGAGGATGAATTTGATCTGGTTTAGGATTTTAAAAGATCACCTGTGGGTTGAAGAAGGTGTAAACTCAAGCAGGGGCCTGTTGGAGGTCTGTTGCAGCGGGTAGTGGTGGAGGGATACAGGATACATTCTGAATGGAGAACCAACAATGCTGGATGACAGCAGGGATATGGGGTTGGTGGTAGAAGGGGTTGAAGGAAGGTGGTGAATGTGGTGGACCTCCAGTTTAGAAATATTTTTAACATATATTTAGCCTCCAATTACTACATTTAGATTCTTTTTTCCTTCGTCTTTTTTTTTTTTAAGTTTATTTACTTATTTTTGAGAGAGAGAGGGAGAGCGCTCATGTGCACAAGCAGGGGAACAACAGAGAGAGAGAGAGAGAGAGAGAGAGAGAGGGGGAATTCCAAGCAGGCTCCTCACTGTCAGCACAGAGCCTGATCTCAGGAACCATGAGATCATGACCTGAGGTGAAATCAAGAGTGCATGCTCAACTGGCTGAGCCATCCATGTGCCCCATATTTTTCATAATCTCTACTAGCAAATCTCTGCAGCCATCGTGGGGTTCAAGCCCATGACCCAGAGATCAACTGTCCCATGCAGCTCTGACTGAACCAACCAGGGTGCCTCAACGTTTAGATTCTTTTTTTTTTTTTTTTTTTTATGTTTATTTATTACTGAGAGTCAGAGAGACACAGAGCATGAGCAGGGGAAGGGCCGAGAGATGGAGACACAGAATCTGAAGCAGGCTCCAGGCTCTGAACTGTCAGCACAGAGCCCGATGCGGGGCTCAAACTCGGGAATGGTTAAGATCATGACCTGAGCCAAAGTTGGACGCTTAACTGACGGAGCCACCCAGATGCCCCTTAGATTCTTAATTAGAGCACAGCATGGCACAGGGAAATAATTTGGACTAACCTTAAATTCCAATCCTATGTAATTCTGGAAAGGGTCTATACCGAAAGAGCCACCGCTTCACCTTTCTTAGGGTGATGGCCTGTCTTCAGATTTGAGCTGTTTGTAAAGCTATACTAACAGCCCCTAGAATTCTGAGTGTTTAAGGAGGTTGTGGGACATCCAAAATGAGTGAGGCAGAGTGCCTCATATTCTAGGTTTATTCAGGAAATGGTGATAGAGGGACAGTGTTGCGGGAGTTTGAGCATTTATAGCACTGGGCATAAGAATAGCACAGTTTCTGCCTGATTTGGAAATGAGTCTCTCCACTAGTCATCCTGGCGCAAGGGCACCTTAAAGTTCTAATCAGGGAGAATGCGATGTCATTCCTGGTGCCTAGAACAGTACCTATATTACGTGCTTAATAACTGTTTGATAAAGAACGAGATAGGGGTGAGAGGAGGGGGCTGGCGTGGAGAAAGGAAGCCTGCCCCAGCTTCGGCACAGCCAGCGGGCCGGGATTTTCATATCACTATAGCAACGCCCCCTTCTCCGCGCACCCACGGGGACACTACAAGTCCCACAAGCGCCCGCGGCTTCCCCGCCCCCAGGGGCAGGGGCGTGAGTGAGCGCGGAACCGGCTTATCCTTTTTCCTGGGGCGTGATTGGCCCGCGGCCCTGGGAGGCGGCCAATGACTGCGCTCGGGTAGAGCCGCGAGGCCAATATGGCTTCCTGCACCTGGTGACGGTTGAAGAAACGGTGTTAGGTCTCATGGAGAAGACCCGGGCCGTCGAGGTGAGAGGGAGAGGATTTCTCGCGACTGGGAAAGGGAACCCCGAGAGCCTCGCACGGGCGACCGTCCTTTAGGCCTTTTAGCGACGCCTGGAGGGTGGAGAGTGGAAGGATGGATAAACTGAGGTAGTTAGGCTGAGCAGGGCCAGAGGCGATTGGCGTGGCCTTTGGCCCCCACACTGCTGGGGCCCACGTCCGGCGAGTGGTTGAGGGCGGAACTGCCTCCCCGGCCTGGGGGAAAAGGGAACTGAGTTCAGGATCTCCAAGCTCCTGAATATTCTTCGTCCTCCCTCTCTCGGGGTCGTCTCTTTAGGGATTAGGAGGCCCGTCACCTCCTGTGGGGACGTGAAGGGCTTGAAAGTTTAATAAAAACTCCGCGCCTGCAGCGTTCACGTGCATGATCTCCTAGTGTACTCACAACAATCCTGTGTTACTGTTTCGTTGTTAGGGTTAAAGTAGCCGAGGCTTAGAGACAGGTGGTGACTCCCCAGGAAGACCACACAGCTGGCAAGTGAAGGACATGGGCACTCAGTCCGTCTGTCCGGCTCCGAAACTTCGCCCGCTCTCCTCCAACCTGTAACCCACGCTCCCTTGAATCCTTTGGCTTCTGGTCACCTCCTATTTAAATGCGGCCTCTTTTCTAGTACGTTGGCGTGTGTAGTTGTAAACCCAGAACGGAATAGCCCAAAACTTCTATAAGGGTGAAGGAGAATAAGAATAATAGCTCGCGCTTGTAGAGCAGTCACTACCAGCTGGAAACAGAACTAGGCTTTGCATATGTCAGTCTTCACACCAGCCCTCTAAAGAAGGCGTGTTGTCGCCGTTGCCCTGATGAAGAAACCGAGAGCAGCGAGGTTCAATATCTTGCACACAGTCAACAGAGACGGGCAGAGACGGGATCCAAACCCAGGCAGATCTGGTTTTTGAAGGCCCGTGCTTTTAGCCAGTAATGACTGATAACGCGTTTTGACCACTTGCTACTTGTAAGCCGTTTGGAGTGCTGTACTTGTCTTCCCTCTATTTCTCCCGCAAAGCTTCTGAAAGAGGTGGTGTTACCCTCATTTACAGGTGTGGGAACTGATGCACTGAGGGATTGACTTGCTGCAGATCATACAGATAGTAGTCAGCAGTAGAGACCGTATTTGAGCCCTACGACCTCTTCTACGTGCCAGTCAGGTTGATATGCAGGATCTCATTTACATTTCGCATCCTGTCCGCCAACTACGTTTCTTATTTCATAGATGAGAAAGTTGAGGCCCACAGAGGTTAAATGACTTGCCCAAAGACCCACAGCTAGTGAGGATCGGAGTCCAGAGCTATGGTACATACCACTGTGCTAAGACTAGCGTGTCATCTGCTTCCCAATTCCTCTTAAGGCAGTCTGCATCCCAGATTAACTCTTCTATGGCTGAAATGGTTTCTGAATTGAGATTATTTTGGTGTACATATGCTGAAGGGGGAAGAATGATTTTCCAATATACGTCTTCCCCAGGAAGTCTTTACGAGATAATTTGGAGTATTTTCACATCATTGTGATCTATTTGAATCATGTTAAAAGGTCATCATTTATGAATCCACAGGAGGAGCTTGGTAAATTCCTAATTCGTACTTTCTGTCTCGTTAAGCTATTCTGATGAGTTGCGGTTAAGAATTGTACAAACAAGAGTAAGGAGCCTGGTGTTTGCTAAAGGGGTATTTGATTCTGCGTGCCACTTGGCTCAGAGGTGTTGACTTGACCAAGAACTGGAAAAGGGAGCTGAGAGCCCACCTGCAGCCTCCCTCTGCATACACTAAGTCAGACCTGATTTCTCCTGCCTGGTTTGTATCTTTCATTAGGAAGCTCCATCTTCAGAACCTATGGAGGAGGAAGAGGAAGAGGAGGACGATTTGGAGCTCTTTGGTGGCTATGACAGTTTCCGGAGCTATAACAGCAGTGCGGGCAGCGAGAGCAGCTCCTATCTGGAGGAGTCAAGTGAAGCAGAAAATGAGGATCGGGAAGCAGGGGAGCTGCCCACCTCTCCCCTGCATCTGCTCAGCCCTGGGACTCCCCGCTCCTTGGATGGCAGTGGTTCTGAGCCAGGTGCTTTGAGAGTGTCCCCTGAAGATGGGGAGGTTTCAGGAGGCTATGGGGGAAGGGTGGGCAGGGGGACATAGGCCATGTGGGCAGAGCCATCCAGGTGTAAGGAGCCGTTTGCTCTGATGTCTGAGGGCCTGTGACAGAGACACAAGTAGCCCCAAAGGGTATTTCCTCTGCTGCAGTCTGATTTCAAATTGCAATTTCCTTTGTTCTTTCCTACAACTATATTTATTTGGAACATATTAGATGCCAGTCATTAATAAGGTGCTTTTACATTTGGGTGAGTAGCTGGTTGATTTTTAAACCTGGATGTTGAGAAGAACACCTAAAATGTTCTGATTACTATCTGGGGAAGGTCAAGGAATAGCTTGTGGGTTGGATGTGAGGTGTGGGGGGAATACAGAATCCAGTGACCCCCGAGGGAGAGGATTACTGATGACAGTTCCCATGGATCATCTGGAAGCTAGTTACCTTCTGAGCTGTGATGCTCGCACAGATGCTGGACCCCTGTGTCAGCCTCCAGTGTGTGGACTGCCTGTGAAGACAGGCTAGATGTCTGTGAGGATAGTCCTGTCCCTTGGTGCCTGAAACTCTAATACTCTGCCACTTGACTCTTCTTTTCTACCAGTCTTCTCCCACCCCTGCCTTATTTATTTATTTATTTATTTATTTATTTATTTATTTATTTATTTATTTATTTATTCTCCCTTCTGTCTTCTTCCAGCCATTCTTTTAGAATCTTAGAACTTTGGAACTAGAAAGAACCATTAGAGACTGTGGAGTTCAGGTGTTCTCTAGCCTGGCTGTACATTAGGGTCACCTGGGGAGGTTTTAACAGACTACAGATGCCTTTGTCCCACCACAGACCAGTTAATTAGAATCTCAGGCTGGGTATTTTTAAAGCTACTCAGATGATTCTAATATGATGTCAGGCGTGAAACATTGATCTAGTTCAGTGGCTGTATAGATGAGAAGAAAAGATACCCACAGAAGTTAATGGCATTTTAGCTTCTCATTTTGTTCTTTATAAACTTTTCAATACTCACCTGTTGCCCTGTGGATTTGCCTTAGCTCCACTGTTGACATATAACCGAGGGATGCCAGGCAGCTTACCTCAGACAAAGCAGATTCAGTTGTATACAAACCTCCTCCTCCTGTTCCAGGCCTGTCAGTCTGAGTGGGGGCTTGGATTCACCTGGTTAACGTGCTGTTCGGGTTTTGAAGGGCCCATCATTTTGTTTGATCTGGGGTGACCGTATCGGGTGGGTCACGTGCTAAGTTCTCTTCCCAGCTGTCTGTGAGATGTGTGGTATCGTGGGTACAAGGGAAGCCTTCTTCTCCAAGACTAAGAGATTCTGCAGCGTCTCCTGTTCTAGGAGCTACTCCTCCAACTCCAAGAAAGCCAGTATCTTGGCCAGATTACAGGTAAGAGGCAGTTACTCTGAAGACCTTTCCTGGGGCCCTGGGAGCTGAGACAGGAACACCCACCTGGCTGATGGCAAAGGGGCCAAGAGAGCTTTGGAAGGAGTTTGCTTGTGGCTGTCTGAGGTTGTAAACTTCCTGCTATTTATTATGCTCTCAAAATTTAGCCTGCAGGGGAATCAATCTGTAAATTACACACTAATAGAGGTGCCCTTCAATCCCCACCTTCCCCTGCCCCCAGGAGTCTAATGCCTTTAGTAAGTTTTAAAGAAAAGAAGAGCCTTGGGGGAGTCTGGTGCCCTTTGGTCTTTGCCTCATACTTTTTTTTTTTTTTTTTAAGTTTGTTTATTTTGAGAAAGCTAGGACATGAGCAGGGGAGGGGGAGAGAGAGGGACAGAGAGAATCCCAAGCAGGCCCTGTGCTATCAGCGCAGAGCCTGACGCCGGGCTTAACCTCATGAATGGTGAGATCCTGACGTGAGCCAAAATCAAGAGTCAGATGCTTAACCAGCTGAGCTACGCAGGTGCCCCCGCCCCATACCTTTATAAATGCTCTGAAAGGAAATTAGGAGACAGGCATACATTTACCAGCCACGGTGGGTTTAGGAAGTTGATACCTGGTCTCTGATTCCATGTCATAGGCAGCCACCTAGAAAGTCTTACTAATCTTTAGTTAATTATTGACATTCATAGAAGTTTTATAAATGGAAGCATTCTTAAAGAGATGTGTTGTCTCACCCACACATTAGTTGAGAAGTGTGCTGAGGTTCAGAGAGGAAGAGGGACTTACCTAAGGTGGTTCTGTTGGAGGAGCAGCAGAACTGGGACTGGAATGTGCTCTCAGGCGCCTAACGTTGTGTTGTGTCCTGGTAACTATGGCCACCGTCCATGACACCGGTGCTCACACCTTGCCTGCACGTTGGGATCACCTGGAGAGTGTTTAAAATATTAATGTTTGGTGCAACTTTTGATCTCGGGGTCATGAGTTCAAGCCCCACATTGGGTGTAGAGATTACTAAAAAAAAAATAAATAAACAAGCTTTAAAAGAAGTAGTAACAAAATATTGATGCTTGGTCTTACTCCCAAAGATTCTCATTTAATTGGGATGGAGTGTGGCCTGGACACATGGGCTTTATAATTATTATTATTATTGTTGTTGTTGTTTTAAGTAATCTGCACCCAACATGGGTCTCTAATTCCTAACCCTGAGATAAGAGTCTCATGCACTGCCTCTACCACCCTAGCCAGCCAGGTGCCCCCTGGACATAGGGGCTTTAAAGAGCCCCACCCAGGTAATTGTCATGTGCAGCAAAGTTTGAGACCCACTGCTCTGACATTTATTGAAAGTCACAGTAGACCATGTCTCCTGCTTTGTGCTTCTGTATACTTTATCTCTCACTTTTGTGCATAATCATTGTTGTTTCCCTCACTGTGTAGATTTTAGTTAGGGCATAGAAAAATCTCTCTCCTCAGTGACCTAATAAATAGTATTGTTAATAGCTACAATTCAGGGATACTTGCTAACTGAATCCAACCAACCAATGCTCTCTTAAAAATGAATTTTTAAAGTTTCCTATTTTATTTTTTTAAGATTTTTTTCCCCAGAGAAATCCCTACACCAAACATGGGGCTTGAACTCACAACTCCAAGATCAGGAGTTGCATGCTGTACTTACTGAGCCAGCCAGATGCCCCTTAAATTCCTATTTTATTTTATTTTTTATTATTTTTTTTAAAATTCCTATTTTATTATTATTTTTTAACGTTTATTTATTTTTGAGAGACAGAGTGCGAGCGGGGTAGGGGCAGAGAAAAGGAGACAGAATCCGAGGCAGGCTCCACACTGCCAGCACAGAGTAGAAGTCAGACATTTAACGGACTGAGCCACCCAGGTGCCCCTATTAATCTTTTTTTTAATGTTTATTTATTTTGAGCAAGCAGGGGGAGGGGCAGAGGGAGAGGGAGAGAGAATCCCAAGCAGGCTCCTAGCATGGGGCTCAGTCTCACAAACCGTGAGATCATGACCTGAGCTGAAATTAAGTGTCCGACTTAAGTTCAGGTCATGATCTCGAGGTTCGTGAGTTCAAGCCCTGCTTCGGGCCCTGTGCTGACAGCTCAGAGCCTGGAGCCTGATTTGGATTCTGTGTCTCCCTCTGTCTCTGCCCCACCCCTGCTTGCACTCTGTCTCTCTCTGTCTCTCAAAAATGAATAAACGTTAAAAAAAATTTTTTTAAAGGCTCAAAAATTTTTAGTAACTTACTCAAAGAAGTTACAAATTGAAGAGCCAGGACTTTTCCCCATGTCTGTGTAAACTCACATTTTTATTTCACTGATTTTTTAAAATAAATTCTCTGGGCCTTTCTGATCAGTGCTTAAGTTCCAAGCTGTAGACTAGATTAGTGGCCTTTCACTCTTGGGGAGGCCCCGTGGAGCATCTGATGAAAGTCACAGACCTGCTCTAGAACATTCCCATATGTGTACAAAATGTTGCCTCCTAGACCTCTGTGAAGCCCACTGTCTGCCATAAATCTGTGGGAGCACCTGATGAAGGAGATGGCTGAGAGTTGAAGCCACTGGGAAAAGTCCCTGGAGGAAACAAAGGCTTAAAAGACAGAAAAGATACAAGTGTCCCTCCCTGCCCTGTAGCTCCAAGTGACCTATGCCTCCGCATTTGAACAATAGCTAAGCACTTACTGAATGCCAGGCATCAGACAGTAACTCACATCCTTGCAGCCCCCCTTTGAGCCAAGCATTGTTATTGTTATTATGCACTTGATTTACAAATGAAGGAACTGAAGAGGTTGAGGGACTGAATCCCAGGATTTAAACCCAGACCTTCCAGATCCAGCGCTCCATTCTCAGCCATTAGGCTACCCACGTGCTCTCCTCCCTCCAGGGAAAACCACCTACCAAGAAAGCCAAAGTCCTCCACAAGGCGGCCTGGTCTGCCAAAATTGGAGCCTTCCTCCACTCCCAAGGGACAGGACAGCTGGCAGATGGGACGCCAACTGGGCAAGATGGTAAGACAGCAGAACACTGGTGCTCAGAAGCTGCCAAGGGGTTGGGAATGGGGTGCCAGGCCTGGGCTGGCCCTGCCTAGGAGCCGGGAATGGGAAAAAAGGACAGCTACAGAGTGGCCTGCCCCAGGCTCACTGTGGACTGCCATCTTCCCTATTTGGTAGGGATTGTGCAAATTACCCCAGAAAATCCCTTTAGTCACTTCTGAAGTACTAGGACCCCTACTCTTGATAGTTCAGAAACCCAGAATTTGCTGCTTTTCTTTTGTATCGCTCTTAGCCCTGTGGCTTCTGTGTCCCATGGGCAGTGGAGACCCCTGTCTGGTTTGGAGAGGGGTGGCGGGATAAGGAAAGTAACCTGAGTGTGCGCAGCAGTTTCTAAGCGTGCAGGCAATAAGCAACTCTGCTCTAGGTGGTCTGTTCTTGGCTGTAGCTGAGCTCTAGACCCACAAGGGTTGGAGGGGCCTACGTGTGTGCCCCTCCCATCCATTCCAATCGGCTGTGACCAATGAGAGGTTGAGGGAGGTCTAAAGAATTTAAGCCCAAAGGCCTTTGAATTTCCTTGTCTTTTCCGGGGAAGAAAGATCAGACATTTCCCCCTGAATGCTTCCTCTACTCCTGAGAGTCTGTCACCCTTTGGATAAGGTCCAGGCCTGTTCTGATGGCCACCAGTGGGGCAGGTATGGGGCTGCCTGGGTGGGGAAGGACCTGCTTCTATGGCTCCTGGGCGTCAGGTTCCAACTCTTCTCTTTCTGCTCTGCAGCGCTGGTCTTGGGTTTCGACTGGGGGAAGTTCCTGAAGGATCACAGTTACAAAGCTGCTCCTGTCAGCTGTTTTAAGCATGTGAGTGTCCTGGAGATGGGGGGCAGGGGAGCAAGCCGGGAACTCGGGTGCTCGCCACCTGTCTCACCCGCCAGCCTCATAAGCGTTCCAAGCTGGGCACTGGCACCAGAGAGCGAACAGTGATGAGGTCTGGGTGGGCGCAGTCCAACTTTGCCACTTGCTCCGGTTTCCCTTTCTGTCTACCTTTTTTTCAGAGTCCTCCCACAAACCCTCACTGAGGCCTTCTAGCACTGCGCTTCCTCTCTGAGGTCCTCAGTCTGCTTGTTTACGTACTGGAACTTCGTGCTAGAAGTCCTTTCCTTCTGTTTTCCCCTTGTTCGTGTTTTCCCATTGAAAGCTTGGTGCTTCTGGACTGCCCTGAGCCCCCGGGTTCCTGGGAGGCAGACGTGGATGCCTCCTGGAGCCCATTTCAGCACAGAGAAGCCCCAGAAGAGTGAGGCCAGGAGGAGGGGTGGGGTGCTAGGCCTGGAGTGGAAGCGCAGGCAGCACGTGCAGCCTGTGGTAGCCTGCGGGCCAGGGAGCCGCCTAGAGCCACGCTCTCCTTTGGCGTTTCAAGCCAGTTTGCTAACACCCAGGAAGTCAAGGAGGAGGCCTCTTGACTCGTGGAGTCCTCTGACCAGAGTCACATCCTAGCAGCTCCTGGACTCCGGGTGGAGTGCCGTGGACATGGGACAGTGGGAAAGTCTCACTCTAGTCTCACTCTAGTCCCATGCTAGTCTCACTGTAGTCCAAGGCTCACACCTTCCTTAGTAGGAAGCTTTTTTGCCCTGAGTTTTCACTGCAGGGGAATTCTGTCACAATTGCACTCAACACACCGGATTTGATAAGCTCTGCCAGGCCGGCCCCTTTGCGCCTGGGTAGCGTAACGGTTTCTAGATTCTGTGACGGACCCATTCTCTGGCCAGAGAGGTAGAATGGGATACCCCGAATAGCTTAAGCCAGGGCTGAGAATGAAAAAACGGTGAATTTCTCCAAAGGAGAATCAAGATGCTCCTGGTTCAAAGTGAGGTTTAGATATCAGGGAAAAGCCAGCAAAAATGGTCCGCTGCTGATGGAGAGCATCTGAAGAGGAGAAGACGGATTAGAGAGGTAGAAAAAGAATGTGCCAGAAATAGTGTGTGAGTAGACCACTGTGAGAGCCGGCATGGTGATAGCTGAGACACTACTGACCAGGCTTGAGTGAGGATTGAAAGAGGTGGTATTTGTGCCAAGGACAGTGCCTCGCTGGCACTGCCATGTGGCGAGCGCTAGGAGGTGTCATCACTAGCACACAAACTGTCACAGGTGTGCTATGCCCAGGATGATACAGTGAGGAGGCAGTCCTGTAAAGATCAGTATTTGGGGATGACTCTGGATGTGTGACCACTGCACCGGCCCTCCCCTCCCATCGCCCCCACCCCATGCCCTGAATCAGCTCTTTGAGGACAGTGGACTCGTTTTGCTCATCTCTTCATCCCTAGTCCCATGCCTGGCTTGGAGTGACAGTGAGTGATGTGAGAAGTTGAGGGGCAGAGAAGGCCACAATGACTCATGAGGCCAGCCACTCTTCCCTGTCTGCTCAGGCAGCTCACTGTCCCCCCCCCAAATGCTCTTGTGCCCACACAGGTCCCACTGTATGACCAGTGGGAGGACGTGATGAAGGGGATGAAGGTGGAGGTGCTCAATAGCGACGCTGTGCTCCCCAGCCGGGTGTACTGGATTGCCTCTGTCATTCAGGCCGCAGGTGGGTATTCCTCTGGCCAAGGCAGGGTCTGAGTTTGAAGACTGACATCCCCATGTGGCGGGGGGGGGGGGGGGGGGCAGTGTTGCAAGCAGAGGTTGGCTGCATCAAACACAAAGCCCACCCACTGGAGTTTCTGCCTCCCTTCTTGGCTTCCAGGAGGCCACAAAGCATGGCAAGTTTAGAAACTCCCCCTTTTAAGTTTTTTCCCAGGAACAATCAGGCTATAAAAAATTAACTCTCATGCGGTGCCATACTGCTTTCCCAGGACATGACATGGGTTTGTTTTGGCTGTGACCGTTGTGGACAACAGGGACCCCACTTGCCTGGAAGGAGTTCTTGGAATAGGAGTCAGTTTAGGCTGGAAAAGAGGGAAGGCCTGAGAATATACCTTTCCCCATCCCACTCTTCCTCATTGGTGCCCTTTCCTTCTTTCAGGGTACCGGGTGCTGCTCCGGTATGAGGGCTTTGAGAATGACGCCAGCCATGACTTCTGGTGCAACCTGGGAACGGTGGATGTCCACCCCATTGGCTGGTGTGCCATCAACAGCAAGATCCTGGTGCCCCCGCGGAGTGAGTTGATGAGAACATTCCCTGTCCTGGTTCCTGCAGAGCCCATGGTAGAAGGGGCACTTTTGTCTTAGGTTAGACCAGAGCAGAACTCACTTGCCAGCCTGCTGCCTGTCCTCCCCAGTTCCAGAGGCCCCGGGGCAGACAGGTGGTACAGCGGGTTTTAAACATGTGATTGCTGGCCTGAAGAGGCAGAAATCAGTTGCTCTGGCACCCCCTGTTGGCGGGAGTGTTGCCAGGCTTTGTAACAAGGATTCTGCTGTGTCTCCACAGCCATCCATGCCAAGTTCACCGACTGGAAGGGGTACCTCATGAAACGGTTGGTGGGCTCCAGGACGCTTCCTGTGGATTTCCATATCAAGGTCTGGCAGTGAGCCCTTGGGGTCTCCTAACTGATCTCCTTCCTGCCCCTCTCCCATTTTCTCTGTCCATGCTACTCACTGGAGTATTTTCCCAAAGACTCCCTTGCTTGACAGTTTTTAGCAGCTTCATGTTTCTTTTGTTGTTGTTGTTTTAATGTTTTCAATGTTTATTTACTTTCGGGAGAGAGAAAGAGACAGAGTGTGAGCTGGGGAGGGGCAAAGAGAGACACACAGAATCTGAAGCAGGCTCCAGGCTCTGAGCTGTCAGCATAGAATCCGATGCAGGGCTTGAACCCATGAACCATGAGATTGTGACCTGAGCCAAAGTCGGACACTTTGACTGAGCCACCCAAGCGCCCCACCAGCTTCCTGTTTCTCAAGGAAGGATGTTGGTTGCTCTCTCCCTTCCCAGTTTAGTGTCAGCCTCCTCACCAATCCCGATTGTGATCCAGCCACGTCAGTCATGTTGCTTTATCTCCTGTTTGCTCCTCCAGATCCTTACCTTTGCTCATAGCGTTTTCAAAGAGCATTCGTTGCATAGATTTTAAGTACATGGATACAAGGAACTGTGGGAATACAGACCCTGTATTTAGGACTCTCCAGTCTGGCAGAGGAAAAAAGTCAAGCACAGAAATAATTGTGTGTGTGTGTGTGTGTGTGTGTGTGTGTATCCTTCTATTTCTATTTATATATATACATTTTTTACATTTTTTAAGTTTAAGTCATCTCTACACCCAACGTGAGGCTCGAACTCACAACCCTGAGATCAGAAGTCACATGCTCTGTCGACTGACCCAGCCAGGCACCTCTAAGCACAAAAATAATTATAAATAGCCTTGATTATGAACCGGAGGTGTGCCTCCAAATCATCGCTGTGGCTTTTGATTTTAATTTTTAAAAATTTAGTTAACTTAAAAAATCACACACATGATAAAAATTCAAAGGGAGTACAGGATTCATGGTGGAGACTTAGTGTCTCCCACCTCTGTATGTCAGACCTCCTGTTGTGGGGCTCGCTCGCATAGGGGCTTGGGCTGCCTCTGAGGCTCCTGGTCGGTGCTCACAGGTGCATTTCCAACCTTGCCGTGGTAAGCTTCACAGCAGTGAGCAGGGGGACGCAGAGCAGGTGCTGCCGTGACACATGGCTAAACTGGCCTTGTATCAAGGAAGTCTTCATGGAGAAAAGGCATTTGAATTCTACCCTGATGGGTAGGGTGTGGGTGGTATGGAAGCCAACAGCTGAAAATAGGGAAGGAATAGCAGTTGGGCCCATCTCATCCAAGGTACCGGACCCCTGGTGAAGAGGTTGCCACCGCCTGGCTGGTGGAGAGTGGGCCTTTGGTAAGGAATGGTTCCAGCAGCTCAAGGAAGCATTCGCTGGCTTTTTTCCTAAAGTAGAAATGAATTTTCCTTTATTTGATCTTGTTGGGTACCATCCATTTGCTCTTTATTTCTCTGTATTTTGCTAATTTATCTTTTCATATCCCCTTTCCAAAACCATAAGCTTTGTCTCCTCTGCTTCTCAGAATGCCTTGCATGGGTGATGGATTCGACATTTGAAATTCACTCAGCTAGCCTTTGTCTGAAGGCAAGGCAGATGATCGTGGGTGGTGCGGGCCACTAGTGTCATCAAGGTGGCCTGTTCTCTGCTCAAACTAAAATGAGCTTGATTTCTCAGTGGCAGAGCATGGTTCCATGTGAACTGGTCAGCCAGCACATAGTGACTAGGTGTCACATACCCAATCCTGCAGTGGATACGGAAGCAGCTGCCTCTGAGGTTTGGCAGCAAGGAGGATAAAGGGGGTGGGTTTGTAAATGAATCCCTGATCCACATCCAGTCCAGTTCCGTGGATGCCCGCAATATGATAAGGGCCGGAGTACAATGTTTTGAATGAAATGCTGAGTACAGTGTCTTGAATGAAAGACCCACCAGCCAAGGCCAAGGGTGTGTACATGTTTTGTCAGGCGAGAAAAAAACATTAACTGAGCACTAACTCTGTGCCTAGTTGTGTGCGTGGAGCCGAGGAGGTAGAAGTGAATCCTACCAAACCCGACTTCTGCCCCTACTGGGCTCAAGTTCTGGGTGTCACTAACCAAAAGGGGCACCGAGGTGGTATTGGGCTGTGGGCTGCGCTGGGTGGGTGCAAAAGAAAGGAATGACGGGAAGGGCTAGGAGGGGGAGGTAACCCAGGGGACCCCAACCCAGGCCTCACCTGAGTCTCCTAAATGAGCCAGTCAGGCAGTCCGTCTGGGGTGTTCCAGGCCTTGAGGGGGAGGGCTGAAGGCTCTGTAGTGTAGGACTGTCCGCTTTTCCTGGTGGCTGCTTTGTGATCACTGAGGTGCTCCCCCTCCTGGTGGGCTTTGAAATCGCACTGCTCAGCCCACACCAGGGCTAGGCTGGGTGGGGCTGGAAAAGCCCTATGGAGCTCACTGGTCCCATTTCCCTGCCCCAGGCAGGCCAGCATCAAAGTCACAGTGAACCAAGAGAATCTCCTACCCCTTATCCGTGGCCTGCCATCAGGGCACTAAGGACAGCTTGTGGGTATTTTGGTCCCCATCCCTTGCTGGGTCAGAGTAGGAAAGCCATTCAGAACAGCAGCCCAGGGAGTTCAGAGCTATAATTTGACATTTGGAGACACAGGGCTCTGGACACGAGTGTAGTATGTGCCATCTGCCCAGAGGTGGCAGGAAGTGGGAAAGAGCACAAGTCTGGACCCTAGGACAGTTGCAAGGCTCAGCTATGGCACCAATGGCTCTGGGTAAGTGCGGCTAAGTCACCTGAGCTCTCTGGGGTACCCGTTGCCTTAGTCTGAAACGGATCTCGTAATTGCCATCATATTGACTGACTGGCCTCTTGGTGCATATGTTGTAAGCTGTGTGCTGCTCCTCGGTATCATTCTGGGGAATTAGGGTTCCAATTGGCGTTCCCGTCCCACAAGGGTTGAACTTGGTGGGAAGGGAAGGCTCATCTGCACACTTCCTTGACTTAGTGTTGAGTGTGGTTTTCACACCTTCCCTGATCTCTGGTTACTTTTAAGAGACAGAACAGGAAGGTGGGGGCAGGGGGGAGGGTCCCCAAGACCACAGCAGGCCTGTGTTCTGATGTTGCAGATGGTGGAGAGCATGAAGTACCCTTTTCGGCAAGGCATGCGGCTGGAGGTGGTGGACAAGGCCCAGGTGTCACGGACCCGCATGGCCGTTGTGGACACAGTAATTGGGGGTCGCCTTCGGCTCCTCTATGAGGATGGCGACAGCGATGACGACTTCTGGTGCCACATGTGGAGCCCCCTGATCCACCCAGTGGGTTGGTCACGGCGCGTTGGCCATGGCATCAAGCTTTCAGGTTAGCAGAGCCCCAGGCCAGCGTGACACGGGTTCTGCTGCCCCAGGTCCTAGGTAGGAGCATCTCTATACCCCACAACAATCCTCTGTGGTAGAGGTGAGCATTTCTATCATGTAGTTGGTGATAACAAGGTCCAGAGAGGTTGGGTGATTTGACCAAGGTCACTCAGCTTGTAAGTGGTATGATCGATCTGAACCCAGAGGCTGCAGACCCCATCCTCTCCCACGTGATGTGGGAAGCATCTGGATCTGAAGGGTTCAGTAGTCCCTACAGAGAGCTCCTGATGTTTTCCGTCTTCTGGTCTGGGGGGATAGGCAGGTAGGGGGTGCTGAGATACAGGTTAGAGCATATGCAGGGCAACCTCCACATTTCTGGGGATAGTATGGAGGTGGCCCTGTTGGCAGCCTTCAACTCCCTTCTCTCCCTTGCTCCCAAAAGAGAGGCGCAGTGACATGGCCCACCATCCCACCTTCCGGAAAATCTACTGTGATGCTGTTCCTTACCTGTTCAAGAAGGTGAGGCACAGCCCTTGGAGACTTTCCGTCTTGTCCGTAGGTCCATTCCAGACCTTGGGACCCTGGGATGTTCCTTTCCTTCCCCTGTCTCCTTCCCAAGCCTATGGCAGGTGAGGCCTGCTCCCCCACCCTCCACCTGGGCCACCCAGAGATTCCCCAGCTGCCCCGTTCCTTTAAGGTTCGAGCTGTCTACACGGAAGGTGGTTGGTTTGAGGAAGGGATGAAACTGGAAGCCATTGACCCCCTGAATCTGGGCAACATCTGCGTGGCAACTATCTGCAAGGTGAGCCTGGGCCCGACCCTACAGCCTCTTGTGCGGTTTTCTGAAGCCTTTGAGGTGGCTCCGAGCTCTGCACACCTTCCCCACTCCGGCTGCTCCTGGAGTACCGGACTTTTGTGAGGAGAGGGCTCATCTGCTCCTTGCTCAACATCTGCTTTCGTGTCGGGTCCGAGGCACAATGGACGGGTGCTTATTGAACACCTGGCCCGAGCCTGGTCCTGTGTCAGGTGTAGGCCCCGCGCCGTCAGCCTCCCTGGAGGCCTTTCCGCTGCCTCGTGTCCTCTCCTCTGAGGGCTGGAGCCACAGCCATGCTGACTTTGCTGCACACTGTACGTTATTGCTGCAACCTGAGGAGCAAATGGCCCCCGGGGGACATGCTGATTTGTCCATCCAGCCAGACTTCTCCAGGCTGGGCCCGTGTGCTCATCACTGAAAACACTGGCAAAAAGATGTAGTCCCTGCAGGAACCGCATTTGCTGTCCAGTGAGGAAGGTAAATAACGTCACACGTACGGGTTACAGGGGCGCTGAGTGCTCCAAAGCAGAAGCTCAGGGAAGGCCGAGATCTAGCTCTCCGCACACCGCTGATCTGCCGGCTCTCTAGCCACCCGCCCCTCGGATGGGGGTATAGCTCATGATACCATGGTGTCTGCCTTCTCCCCACCTGCCAGGTTCTCCTGGACGGCTACCTCATGATCTGTGTGGACGGGGGACCTTCCACAGATGGCTCAGACTGGTTCTGTTACCATGCCTCCTCCCACGCTATCTTCCCAGCTACCTTCTGCCAAAAGAATGACATTGAGCTCACACCACCTAAAGGTAAGACCGGCCTTACAGTCAGAAAGGGTAGAGTGTGGCCACAGGCCCAGATTCCTGGCTAAGCCAGACCCTGGGGCTTGGAGTCTCAGAGTGGATTGGGAAGGTGTCTGAGCCACCCAAGGCCAATACTACCAGCCCTTACACTGGGCTGACCGGGCTCTATGACTAGTGTGTGGTTTGGTGAGCAGAGCTCCAACTGTTCCTTTGGGCAGTGAACAACCTGTACAACAGGACCATGGTCCTAGAGCAGGTACCAGTCCGGGGAGGAGAGAAGAAGGCTGCTGGGGAGACTCCAGACTGGGTCCTGATCCAGTTGCAGGTGCCCCTTTGGCATGTGCTCCTTTCTTGGATTCCCTCCTGCCTCCCCTCCTTTCCCTCCACGTTTATACTTTCTGCTTCTCCAGGCTACGAATCACACACTTTCAGCTGGGACACCTACTTGGAGAAGACCAAGTCAAAAGCAGCTCCATCGAGACTCTTTAACATGGTAAGGAAATTGAGGAAGCACGGGGCCTGGGTGGCCCTGCCTGCTCTCGGGGTGTTAATTCCAACCCCCTTCTCTTCCCTCGAGTCAGTACTGCGGAGACCAGCCACTTCTGGGGAGAAGTCCCAAACTCTGCCATAGGCATTCTACCTAACAGTCGAGCCGGTCCCTTTCCCGGAGGGACTGGTGCTTGGGAGCAGAGGGCAGCGGGATCACTGTCAAGGGACCCTTCCCCACAGGCGCTCCCAGCCCATTGCCTCTCCCCAGTTGTGCCCCACCGGGGCCGGGAGCTGGCCATGGTCACTGCTGCTTCCTTCCGTCCCTAGGACTGCCCCAACCACGGCTTCAAGGTGGGCATGAAGCTGGAGGCCGTGGACCTGATGGAACCCCGGCTCATCTGCGTGGCCACGGTGAAGCGGGTGGTGCATAGGCTCCTCAGCATCCACTTTGACGGCTGGGACAGCGAATACGACCAGTGGGTGGACTGTGAGTCTCCGGACATCTACCCCGTCGGCTGGTGTGAGCTCACCGGCTACCAGCTCCAGCCACCAGTGGCCGCAGGTCTGGGCTCTCGCGGCCCCAAGAGGCTCTTGACGTTGCTTTCCTTTTTCCTTCCTGCCAACCACTCCCGCTGCCCCGTGCCTACCTCATTCTTTGGCATGAGATCGAGAAGTCTCCTGGGCCACTTCTAACTAGAGTGGCCCTTGTGTCCCCACCTCCCGCTCCTGACTTCTCTGTCTCCCTCTCCCTCTGGCCTGCAGAGCGCCTTCCTTGATCTTGCCCACTCTGTCATATGCTCGTGCCCTTGTGCACACAGGTAAACCTCCCAGGTCCCTCGGAGCAGCCCTGGTGACGAGGATGGGAAGAAGGGACAGCTGCTCTCCAGTCCCTCCCCCATTCTCATTGCCCAACTTTGGCTTTCCTTCTTGGGGTGTCCATGTGTAGGGGAGGCAAGTGAGGGGTGGGCAGGGGGTCTTGGGACGTGCCTATACCTTGTTCTCTTAGAACTCTCTTCTTACCTCTTACTCTCATCTTTTAACAGAGCCGACCACACCTCTGAAGGCCAAAGAGGCCACGAAGAAGAAAAAGAAACAGTTTGGGAAGAAAAGTAAGTGATGCACTAAAGCAGGCGGGGCTGGTGTGGGGCCTGGGACCAGCTGGGCCTGTGTCCCTGGACGTAGAGCAGGAGTCACCACTTAGGTAGCACTCTTCTCGATCCCTCCATCTCCTCTTTCTTGCCCTTTGGCCCCAACATACCTGTCAGCCTATGTCTTAAGGGACCTGAGGACACACAGGGAGTCTTCAGTCTCTGGCACTGGTCAGGATGGCGAGGAAAAAAGGCAAGAGATTGTAATTATAAGCGAGAAAGGGGGGAGGGATCCCCATCTCTGCTGCCATGTGGTCAGAGTCGCTGCAACCCCGTCGGCTGTTTGAAAGTATGAGGCATGGAGGGGGTGGCGGTTTCTCCCCAAGCCTGTCATTCTTCCCTTGTGACACTCAGGGATGAGAGGGCAGCCACTGAACTTTGGTGTCATCTCCTTAGGCGAGACCCCACTCTTAACAGATCCTGAGCCCTGTGTGGGCTCAGCTTGAGGGGACAGCAGGTTGGGCGGGGTAGGGAGGAGAGAAGGTAAAGCCATCCTTCAGAGCCGCTGGCGTGTGGCCATGAGGTTGTCTCCACGATGTGGCACCATACACAGAAGAGGTTGTCCAGAAATAAGGAGGAAACAGACGGGGTCCCTGGGTGGGATTAAGGTCGTATGAGGGTTTGGGTTTGATCACATGGGAAGACCCTGTACTGTTCACAGTAGTGGGGCTGCGAAAGTCACTTCACAGGTGAAGGAAGGAAAGACCGGAAGAGGGAAGGAAGCTCCGCAAGCAGGACGGAGTGGTGTTAACCCCCTACTGGAGAGAGCCTCTCTGAGCCTTGGGCACACAGCTCTGAGGGGCAGCGTCAGCGTTCAGGCCCTTGGTTCCCCCAGATTGGCTCTTCTGATGTCACCGCCCCTGCTCGCCGCTGGCTGAGACCCAGCCTTCAAGCCGCACGTGGATACCGCCTTGTGCTGGGTTTAATTCTGTTTTTATTCAAAGGGAAAAGAATACCACCGAGCAAGACCCGGCCCCTCAGACAGGGGTCCAAGAAGCCCCTGCTGGAGGACGACCTGCAGGCCGCCGAGAAGATCTCATCGGAGCCTGTTCCTGAAGAGAGTAAGAGCCTCCCGGGCGGGATCAAGGCAGGGCCGGCCTGCGCCAGTGCTCAGAGGCGGCCCTTCTCCTTCCCCACCTGGGCACAGAAGAGGAGAGTCAAGTGTGAAGGGACTTCTCTGGGCACCCAGCAGTCCTTGTTGGACCACTGGGCCTGGAGAGCTTCCCAAACACCCACCCCCGACTCTGAACGGAGCCGCACACCTCCAGCCGGGCCCTCTCCATCTCTGCGGCCCGCCCCGCAGGGGCAAGGCGCCATTCCCGCCTCCCCGCCACTTCCTGAGGGCCCCCCTTCATAGGGAGCCAGAGCCTGAGCCCCCTGCCCTTCCGGAGTTTCACGCACACTCACTCTGTTCTCCCCGCCCTCCCCACCTCCCTTCCTCTTTAGTCATTGCTGTGCGTGTGAAGGAAGAGCATCTAGACATGGCCACACCTGACAAAGCCCCGAGTCCAGAGCTGCCTGTTCCCATCGAGAACATCAAACAGGAGACAGACGACTGAGCCTTCCCCACAGCCACCCCGGGGCTTCTCTGTTGCTACCGCCCCTCACCCCACTTTAGTTGGGAGAATGAGCCTTTTTTGCTTAAGTTCTGCCAGGTGCTGTGAAGGCCAGGCCCCCAAGGACCTCTGTCCTCCTCCCTGGCGAGGCCTGAGTGACTGGCACTGCCTGAGGCCTCCGCGTTGGTCTCTGAGTGTCTCCTCCAGCTAGAGTTCCCAAAGCTCTTTCTACAGCAACCTCCCTCCACACCCACCACACCCCTCGGCCGCCGGGGTCGGGGGCTGCCCCCCATCACACTGCAAGACAAGTTCGTGAAGGGTGTGTGTGTCTGAGCAAGTCCTGTAATAAAGGCTTGGAGCAGCTCTGAGGGGGAGGCCGTTGCGGGCTGGTGGTGGGTGGCGTGGGTGCCTGAAAGCAGCCACGTGGAGCAGCCTCTCGCCTCTGGGGTTGGCATCCTGCTTCTCGCACCCTAGGGAGACAGGGAGCTGTGCAGGCACCCAGCCCTGGCAGCTAAGAAGCAGTGACCGGGATACAGGTTTCGGTGACTTGTGGGATGACTTTGACCTGTTTTTGCTGTTGACATGAGTACTGACCCCCATTTCTTAGTGTAGAGGTGGAGTCTGCTCCCCAGGGCAGGGGGCTAGCAGGGACCTGGGGAGGCGAGGACCACACAGGCCCCTGTGCCACTTGGGGAGCTGGAGGAGGGGGCTGCAGAGGCAGCAGGGCCGGAAGGGAGACGGCAGCCAGAGCTGTGCTTCACCTGCTCGGAGCCCAGCTCGGCTGGGACCTGCCCTTTCCACCCCACTTCTCTTCTCCTGGTTGACAGGGAGAGAGTCGCGGGGCCTTGGTGAGGGGCAGTGGTCAGCTCTGCTGGCTGAGGGGACCCTAAGGGAGCCCCTGGAGGAAGGGAGATGAGGGTAACGGGACACGCTTCCTGGCTCCCTGTCCTTTCCTGTCCATGCCCCTCTCTGATAGTACATTTTAGAAGTTCACCTAGTGTCTGCCCAAATTTCAGTTGCTTTCATTTTTCCCAGTTAACCTCCTTGGAAACTGTCCCCTCCCTCTGTCTTTCCAATAACTCTTCCCAAACGTAAGGTGGGGCAGCTGACCTTTATTTCCTGTCTTTGGGTGGAGAGGCGCTGCCAGGTGGGTTCCTGTGGGCGTCCAGCTGCCTCCTCTGAGCTGGTCAGGCTGCCACCGCCTGTGCTTACTGGGTAGGGTGCTTGGCTGTGCATTTGTTCAGGACCTGGGCTGTTTGGGCTTCCCCAGAGATGGGGTGACCCGCCTAAGCGAAGCTGATTTCCAGTCATTTCTTCCAGAGAGAATTTGATCCTGACTCCTTTGCTAAAGGCACTAGGAAAGCCCGCCCGCTGTAGAAACCAGGCCCAGAAAGTGGCCTGTCCCTGCAACCTGCATTCCCCAGAACGTGACTACATTTGGAACCTGTGAAGATCAAGGACAGAGGGGCCATGCCCTCCCCTGCTATTACTTACACCCCAGACCTGGGCCGTGATGGATCAGTGGCCTTAGACCCCCCCCACCCCACCGCCAGGAGGAAGACAGCCTGGGTATGCACTTTGGCTCTGCTGTGCACCCACGGAGGGCTTGCAGGGTCGTGTTCCCAGCTGAAGCTAGCTCATCACCCCCAAAGCCCCTGCAGTTTGGAGGGCCAGCTCCGGGGCTTCTGGGGAAACTGGACCATATAAGATCATAACCTTTAGCTCCTTCCTGGATGAAGAAGTGATGCCTGCGCGTGCCCCAATAAGGATGGCAGGGGCGGAGGACAAGTCTGGCTGCCATTCCAGCCCTCAACTGGCCTCCCCGGACTTCCTGAAGTCGTTTGTCAGATTTCTGTTTCTTAGAGCAGAGTGTATTGTGATCAGGCACCTCCCAGTATCGATTACGAAGGCTGGCTTCACACAGGACGATGAATAAATGCTGCCTGTCATCTTTTGAGTGCCCCATCTCCATAGCAACCACATGCTGGATGATCCTTCTTTACATTTCTGCCATTCCCCTCCTGTAAAACCCTGAGTTCCCCAGAGGCTGGGCCTGTGCCTTGTCTGCCCCAGTGGCCTGGTCCTAAGTTACCCCAGTGAGTGTGAGCACATGACACGAAAATCCGTAACTTGTGTTGCTGGGGCCTAAAGGTCTGTCTCCCATCTTGAGTGGAGGTGTCTGTTGGCTTCGGAGATGCTCACATTCCAGGCACGGGACCAGCTTTGCACCTCAGTTGCCCTTGGTGGGAACTGGTCTGGAGTCCTGGGGGCAGGGGGGCTGCTGGCTGGGAGATCCTCCTGAAGCACCCCTTCCCCACCTCGTGCCACTGCTGCCTGATCTGCAGTGGCTCCCTGGTGCGGACTGGACCAGGTGCAAACGCACACACCCCCGTCACCCAGTCTGGACACTTGGCTCTACTTGAGGGATGGGGGCAGCAAGGGAACTGCCATTCGTAACAGCCTCAGGTGCTAAGTCAGACACATTTACACAGTTTAGTTCGTCTTCACAGGAGCCCTGAGGTGCGGGTCAACTCCCATTTTACGGATGAGGAGAAGGTTTATCATACTAACTTCGTTTCTTAAATTCACAACAGTAAAATGACAGCAGTGGGATTAAATCCAGGGTGGTCTGCTGTGTTACAACTGGTATTCATTCACTCATTCATTCATTCTCCTTTCTGAAGCATCTTCCACATGCCAGACATCACGCTAGAGTTTGGGGCCTCAAAAGAGACCAAGGCGTGCGTGGTCCAGCCATGGCCATCAGCAAGGTGAACACGCCCAGCCCAGAAGAGGGCCCAGGACCTTGTGTGACCCTTGAGGTCAGGGCCCTTCTCTTCCCACTCCGCCCCCCCCCCCCCTTTTGTTAAGAAGTCTCCACACCCAACATAGAAACAAGATAACGAATCCCACACTCTACCACCTGAGCCGGCCAAGCACCCCTGGGCCCCTTATCTTTCAATTCCTTTGTATTCCTGGGAGGAAACCCCCCAAATAAAAATGAAAGACCTATGTAACGCCAGGGCTAGCGTTCAGGGGATTATCTCCATGTCCGAGGGGTTGGAGGAAGGGGACAGCCTCAGACATACCGATTCCTGCTGCAGCCCGGATGCGGGGACAGGGAGTCAGGATTGCGGGGTCTTTCCTTTTAACAAGCCCTGGCCTGCAGCTGGGCCCGTCAGCCTCAGCTCCTGAGCCAAGCTCGGCCTCCACACGCCCTCCCCCGGGGCCGCTGTCGGGAGGGAACGCTGATGCTGTTCCTTAGCCTTAGCCGGAAGTCCCTGCCACATGGATGTCAGCCGAGATTAATGCCACTGTCATTGACACCAATTCCAGATCTGATCTCAAAGGCACAATTGCTCACCTTCAGCTTGGGGTTGTAGCAATTCCTTCCTCCCAGCCTACCTCACAAGGAACACTGAATGGTGTAACCGCCCCCCCCCCCCCCGCCCCCGGCTAAAAGAAGATGTACCTCAGAGTGAGACCTCAGAAATAGGGTCTTCACGGAGGTAATCAAGTTAAAACAAGGTCATTAGGTTGAGTCCTAATCCAGTATGACTCCTGCCCTTAAGAAAAGGGGGAATTTGGACTCGGATCTGGCAGGAAGACATGAAGGGACGGGGAGGTTCCATATGAACTCGGACAGAGACTGCATGGTGCCACCACAAGCCAAGAGACATCTGGGGCTACCAGAGGCTGGAAGGGGCACAGAAGGCTCTCCCCTGCAGCCTTCAGAGGGAGCACAGCCCCACCGGCGACACCCTCATCTCAGACTTCGAACCTCCAGAACAGTGAGGCAAAAATGTCTTGTCCTAAGCCGCCCAGTGTGTGGTACTTTTTTACAGCAGCCCCTGGGAACTGATACACCTTCTAATGGACCCCAGGCCCCCCAAGTCTTCACCACGCAGGTCCAGAGGCAGGCTGAGCCTTCGTCTCCCCAGGGCCCACTTTTCTGTTCTCGTTTTCCCTCAGGACTGGCCTCTCCCCTAGAGCCCCCGCTGCCCCCCCACCACACAGCAGCAGTTCCCACGGTCAAGGGCACCCGGATCCTGCTCCCCCTTCTCTGACGTGCTGCGTAACTTGGCTACAACCAGGGGCTCGAGGATGTGAGCATAAATGTCAGGCGGGTGATGGAACGACACGGAGCGGGGTGCAGCCTGTGGCCGGCGAGCAGTGGGAGGCCACGACGGCCCCTGCGCTCCTGCTCTCTCTGTCCCAGGTGTGAGCCCTGGAGGTCAGGAAACTGTGGGATCAACGATGATCCGGCAAATACGGTGACGGTGGCATTACTTTTAGGGACACGTTGGGTCCAGGTATTCTGTGGCTTATCGGAAAGGCCAGCGTCCCACAGGGTGAAATTGTGCAGTTGTTTCCTCACAAACCCATCTGGGCCCAGCCAAAGGTGGGGGAGCTGAGGAGCGGGGACAGATACGACCGAATGGAAACAGCAGAGTCATTGCCCAGGTCTGGAACCACATGAATTGGGACCAAGAGAAGTCAGATCTCTGCTACCCTGGGGGCTTTGGAACCTGACCCACCCACCAAGGCCTCCCACCAACCTGCCAACCTTGTCTGCTCTCCATCGTCTCCCCTTCCCGGGGCTGCTCCTGGCACTGGGCCTGGCGGCGTCCGGCGTCCGCTTGGCCTTCCTGGCAGCCCAGCCTGGGCAGGTTTCAAAAACAGTCGTCGCAGCCTTCACCCTCTGGCCATGGGCACTGGGAGGGCTGGCACACGTGGCCCCCACACGCAGGTTCAGCCCAGTGAGCCACCTGAGGAGAGGAGAGGAGATCCTCAGGAACCGGCTGCGAGGGCACACTCTGGAGGGAACCCTGGCCCAGCCCGTCACTGATTAGGGGACCCAGAGCAAGTCACTTCAAACCTCAAATCCCTTCTCTGTAAAAAGGGGATAGGAATAGTAATAAATAGTTACAGAGGGCTTAGGGCGCTCCAGACAATGTTCAAATCAACCTATATATGCTAGCTGACAAAGTAATCCTTTTTTTTTTTTTAACTTTTTTTTTTTAATTTTTTTTCAACGTTTATTTATTTTTGGGACAGAGAGAGACAGAGCATGAACAGGGGAGGGGCAGAGAGAGAGAGGGAGACACAGAATCGGAAACAGGCTCCAGGCTCCGAGCCATCAGCCCAGAGCCCAACGCGGGGCTCGAACTCACGGACCGCGAGATCGTGACCTGGCTGAAGTCGGAGGCTCAACCGACTGCGCCACCCAGGCGCCCTTTTTTTAACTTTTTAACGTTTATTTTTGAAAGAGAGGGAAAGAGTGTGAGCACGAGCAGGGAAGGGGCAGAGAGAGAGGGAGACACAGAATCGGAAACAGACTCCAAGCTCCGAGCTGTCAGCACAGAGCCCGATGTGGGGCTTGAACTCAGGAACGGTGAGATCATGACCTGAGCTGAAGTTGGACGCTTAACCGACTGAGCCACCCAGGGACCCCGACAAGGTAAGTCTTACAAAGAACGCCTATGAGGTGGACACAGTTCCTGTCATCCCCTTCACAGATGAGGGAATGGCACAGAGAAGTCACCAGGCCCAAAGTCAATCGCAGAGAAGGACTTGAGTTCTTTTGCTCTCCTATGAAATCAGTGACATGCCCACAAGTATTTGTTAGGTTCCACCCCCCCCCCCCCAGGCTGGGTGGATCTCATTCCCACTTTGTTGATGAGGGAATCCGGGCCCAGACAAGTCTACCCCAAGCCTCACGCACTTCTGGCTCCCTCAGGAAGGGCAGGGGGCTCTGGCGGCACCCTCCCCCCGGAAGCCGCAGGCTGGCACAGACACGGTGCCCTGCGAAGGGGGGGGGGGGGGGCTTGACTGAGAGCAGCTGGTGGGTGTCCAGCTGGGGAGCTCACCTGTGCAGCGGGAGCAGCTGGCAGTCGCAGTGGAAGGGGTTGCCGCTGAGGTCAATGAGCTCCAGCTGGCTGAGATGGGGCAGGGCAGGCACGGCCCGCAGCTGGTTCTTCTGTAGGTACAGGCTCTGGAGCCGGGGTCCCAGGCCCGAGAAGGCCCTGGGAGAAATCTGCAAGGAGACGCCAGGCCTTGGCGTGAGCTCCTACCGGGCCCGTCTCACCCCTAGGCCTGGGAGGTAGCCCCGTGCTCTCCCAGCAGAGGGGAGGCGGAGAGCCCAAGAGCCCAAGGTGGCCGGGGCAGTAAGGGCCGTGCTGGGATGGAGACCCAGGCTGGTCTGATCCCAAAGCACTTGCCCTTTGCACGCCACTCGGAGGCCCAGTTCATGGTTCTTTCTGCTCTGCCTGAACATGCCCCCCTAAAGGCAAATCCTCTTGGTGGCTCCAGCCCTCCCTCAAAGTGTGCAACAACCGAATGGACCCACATTCCTCCTTCCTCCATGCTTAGGCGGTACCCTCCCTGGCAGGCCTGTGTGGCACTGAAATCTGCCTGGTCTGTCACCACCCCTAAGCTCCCTGGGCCGGGGGGGGGGGGGCGCGGGGGGGCAGGTGTAGTGTCTGGCTTATCTCAGGGTCACCACGCCCCAGCCTCAGGCCTGGCACTGTGGGGGCAGCAGGGTTTGTTGAGTGAACGGACGCTGCATGAGGCCTCTTGTGGCCCGCCCTCCTCCCTTCCCCCCCCTGTAGCCCTGTGCCCACCTGCTCCAGGCCACTGCTGTTCAGGAAGAGGTGCCTCAGTGACTGGCCCACAGACCGGAAAGCCCCATCCGGCAGAGCTTCGAGAGGGTTCCCCGAGAGCTGCAGCTCCAGGAGGGCAGGCAGCCCCTCCAAGGCCCCAGTGGGCACCTCTCGCAGTTGGTTCCTGTCAAGGTGCAGCTTCTCCAGCTCTCCAGCCGGGCCCACTGCCCCGGGGGCCACTTGGGCGATGCAGTTGCTGCTCAGGTAGAGCCAGCGCAAGGCCTGCGTGCCTGCCAGGTCCCCGGGTTCCAGGCGGTCCACTGCGTTGCTCTGCAGGTGCAGGGAAACGAGGCCGGGCATGGCGCGCAGGGCGGC